TGAAGAAGACGAACCACGAAATGGGGAGAGCCAGGCAGTGTGGAGAGGAAGGGGGGGGCAAGATGTRAGCCCCTGGGTCCAGCCATACCTGACTTCCAACACGGAATGTGGACCAATAAAGTTTMGTTTTTGTTTGGGGCAGTTTGTGTTGGGTGCTCTTGCAACCCAAAAAGTGTGACACTCATGCTGTCACAGGACAGGCACATTTTTTGACACAGGCATTTGTAGAGCGTCATTGGAGCATGAGCAGGAGGCAAAGCAGTGTCTGGGATCCTGGCACCTGTGGTGGGGAGACACAGGGCACTAACACCAAGGACCCCTCGGTGATCTTGGAAGTTAGGAAAACCCCAGAGCGGAGACACAGACTGCCTCAGAGCCCTGGGGCCCTGTGTGCAGGACGGTGACCTTGGTGACATGCTAGTGGCTGAGCCCTCACAGAACCTCACCTCAGCGGAGACCCCACAGAGTCACTGATCRGCGGTCACTGGGCAGCGCTGAGGGCCCCCAGAGCCCTGAGATGGGTGAGGACGGGAGCCTCTACGCCTCCCACCAGGTTCTCGGGGGATCCGAGTTTTGAAAATTCTTGACTCCCTAAGATGAGCTCGGAGCTCTGAAACTCTGCTTCCCTAGCCGTCCTGCGGGTCCTGCCTGGGCAGGGAGGGCCAGGAGGAAGGCACAGCCTCCCCYGCCTTCCAGCCCTGCCCAGGTCCACCCAGGTCCCCAGGGTCTGTGCCCCAGGGACAGCCTCTGGGCCTCGCGGGACCCCTGGGTGTGTTTTGGCCTCTCAGGCCCAGGCCCCAGGAGGCCTCCCGGGAGGAGCAAAGGCCYGGAGACGTCAGCGGTGACACACAGCTCAGCCCTGATCCCAGCTCTGCCCGCCCTCGGGAGCTGTCCCCAGTGCCACTGTCCTATCCCCATACTGCAGCGCCCACAGGTCAGCTGGCCGCCCCTTGAGATCCGCCGCCCACAGTGCAGGAGGCACCGTGGAGAAGTCACTGCGAGTGGATGAGCAGGCTGTGGGAGCGGGCGACGGCTGTCCCCTCCCCTCACTGCACGTGTAGGGCAGCGCAGGTCCCAGAGYTGGGCAGACAGTGACCCAAGGCCACCGCACCTCCCACTCCCCCAGTGACAGTCCCGGCCTCCAGCTCCAACACCGGGAGGCTTTTCAGTCCCATGAGGTATACAGCAGCCAGCGCCCTTGGTCCAGGGCCTGGGAGACCCCCCAGGGAAGGGCAGGCAGTGCCCTCCACTTAGGTACAGCTGTCTCAAAATGAATAATTAAAAGGAGCCAGGCGCAGCTTGGGAGGCTGAGGCAGGAGGATCGCAAGTTCAAAGCCAGCCTCAGCAAAAGAGGCGCTAAGCAACTCAGTGAGAACCTCTCTCTAAATAAGATACAAAAAATAGGGCTGGGGATGGGGCTCAGTGGTCGGGTGCTCCTGAGTTTGATCCCAGTACCAAATAAATAAATAAAAATAAAGAGCTGGGAATGTAGCTCAGTGGTAAAGTTTCAATTCCTCACTGTCCCCCGAGTAGCTGAAGAGTGGCAGGGGGACTTCAGGAACCCTGCCCGCAACATCCCAGGTGGCGRTGCTGAGCGAGCCTGGGAAACCCGGGCGCCAGCAGCATGGATAAACCCCACGCCCGTTTCTGTAGGGTCCACACGTTCTGATGGGTCGACCAGCACCCCCAACCCACGTTCACCCAGAGCCTGGCTGAGAGCTCCTTTGTAGTGAGGGTCTCAGCAGATACGGGGGCTTCGGCTGTCAGATGACGCCCTGCCTCCATGACCAGTGTCCTCCTGAGAGATGCCGAGGGAAGAAGGCACCCGAGGAGGCAGGTGGAGTGATGTGGCCACCAGGGGAGGCCAGGAAGGACCCTGCCCTGGACACCGCARGGAGAGTGATGCCCTGAGGACACCTGGCTCCAGACTCTGGCCTCCAGACCTGGGGCAGAATAAAGGTTTGTGGTCTTGAGCCTCATTTTTTGGGGGGGGCSGGTAATTTGTTCCAGAAGCCCCAGGAAGCTAATGCAGTGTGCCCGAGCTTCACACCTAAGAAGCTGGTCCCTGCGCACCAGTGTGCAAGCCCCTGGTGACACCGCTCTTTCCCGGTGTGCAAGCCCCCGGTGMCGCCGCTCTTTCCCGAATGCTCTATTCAGTCTTGCAAACAGTAGCCAAGGAATCCCTGAATAATCCCTGGGCAAACRCCAGGCTCAGGGAGAAGACAGTGGAAGTTGATCCAAGCCTAAAATGGCCAGTGCTTCTGGCTGGAATGACCAGGCCCAAGAACGGGCACCTCACCCCCAAAACGGACTCCATTGAAAAGGAGCCATCAGTTCTACAGAGGAGAGGAGCTTCCCGAGAGGGCAGGGTCGGAGAGGAACAACACCACTTATCTCCTTCTGTTGTTGCAAATTGGTTGCCGTTTTGCAYGGTGCTGGGGATCAACCCAGGGGCGCTTTACCACTGAGCTACATCCCAGCCTTTTTAAAATTTTTAATYCTGAGGGCCTCGCCAAGTTGCTGAGGCTGCCCTAGCTCTTGCGATCCTCCTGCCTYGGCCTCCCCAGYCCCTGGGATTACAGGTGTGTGCCATCATGCCCAGCTCAACATCTGGGGAAGACCTCCCGGCTCAGGAAAGCCGCGCAGGGACTAAAGGTGCCCTTTCAGAGCTGTGGTTCTGCCCAGAAAAGGGAAGAGCCGGCTGCACACACCGCAGAAGGCAGCSGCACCCTGGCCTCATGTCCTCTGGAGGCCGGCTGCCTCATGAACACCCGTGAGGGCCCCCTCGGGAAGGAGCCCGGACTGGGACGAGAAGCATGAAGAAATCAGAACTACCGCGCACATTTATTGAGTGCTTTCTGTGTTCCAGACGCCGTGCTGGGGACTTTGTGACCACTTTTGTCCCACTACAACCCCATGAGGTAGGCACTGCTGTCCCCAAAATTTACAGATGAGGACACTGAGGCACAGAGAGGTTAAGTCACCTGCTTGAGGTTACACAGCTATGAAAGGAAGGCTGAGCTTTGCACCCTGGTCTCATGGTCACGTGGCTACGGGTCGTCTCTGTCCTGACAGCAAGGGGCTGATGAGCCAGGAGGAGCAAGAAGCCTAAGCCAAGTCCAGCCCTGCGGGGCCTGGGGAACTTTAAAAGCCAGAAGCTGGGCAGTCCCTTCCTTGAGCTACTTTTAATTACAGGCCTCCCCAAGGCAGGAGCAGCCTGCTGCAGAGGCTTCAGCGCAGATCCCAGAGACTTCTATGCAGGACACCACCACGGACGCCTGCTGGTGCAGGGAAGGACGGTCCCACGCGGCCCCGTTGCTTCTAGAGGGGATGCCAGTCACAGGACCCCCTGTGCCTTGGCCAGCATGGCCAAGAAGTGAACCTGCCACTTGAGCAGGGTCAGCCAGACTCTTCCACGAGAGCTGAGATGGGAAGGCATCTCCCTTGGGGTCGGGAGCCTGCCGTGAAGAGGGCTGGGCTCTGGCAGCCCCTTCCTCACCAGCTGGAAGAAAGGAGGCSGCCAGGGTGCAAAGAGGTTAGGGTCACGAGGCCTGGGTGCAGTTGAGAGGCCTGGGGAAACGGGGCTCCCGCATCCAGCCGTTCCTGGAGCCAATTCCCAAATCCGAGACCCAGGGAATTCCCTTTGTTGCTTAAGCCAGTTTTAGCTGGGTTCAGAGGGACCAGCCAAGAATCTGAGATGCTCACCCTTGCTGGGCGTGGGGTTGTAGCTCGGTGGTAGAGCACTTGCCTAGCACTCAGAGACCCGTGACCTGTTGCCTTTTGGGGACCCAGGAAAGGAAAGGAACAATGTCCTCAGGTCCCAAGGAGACCCAAGGCAGTAACTGGGGAAAGTCATGTCAATTTTGGAGCTGGTTCCTGAGTCAGATCTGCCCCAGGGCAGACWATAGCCTCCCCACCAAGAGGAGTCCAAATGCCATGTGGAGACCCTGGATCCAGCCTTACCTGAAGTTAGCCCTGGACTGGACAGGTACTATGAATCCATGAATGGTCACCCTTTTGTGTTTAAGTCACTGAGCAGTGGGTTTCTCTGACTTACAATTAAAAAAGGTCGTAATCGAACAGCTCCCCAGGACAGAAAGGGGCCTCCAGAGGGGTATGGAGATAGTGTGTGTCWCCCCATCACTGCCTGAAACTTGGCRGAAGCCCTGGACTTCCTCACCCTCTTCAAGGCACTGGTGGTCAGGGCTAGGCCCCCAGCAAACCTGGATATGGTTCCGGCGAGCCCTGGATACAGCTCCCGGGCCCAGTGGGGACTCAGAGTGCTGCTGTCCCTCAGACACTCAGGGGACCATCCCTTCCCGATGCCCAGCATCTTCTCCTTCTTGGGGGTTGGGCCAGTATTCCTTGAAGCCCTTGCCTTTTCAGACCGTGTGATTGGCTCCAGCACTGTGCATGTGATCCAGGCTGGCCAATCAACGCGCCGCACCCCAGCTAAGTCACAGTGATTGGTCTAGACTGGGCACGTGACCCCAGGACCCGCCTTCTCCAACCCCCAGTAACTATCCCGGGTTCAGGGAKGGACGCGGGTCCCCAGCTGGCCGCTGAGAGGCAGTCCTGGGAGGTGGACTGGAACTTCTGGGAGTGAGCAGTTCCCTTCTGGGGGAAGGGACAGTGTGCCCAGCAGGACGGAGACCCTGCTCCGGGGTGGCCCTCCTGAGAAGGAAGCGGACGGGGCCAGCAAGCAAGTGGTGGTGAGGGGCTGCGCCTGGTGCCATGGCTGAGTCCCAGATCCTGCGAGACCCACGGCGCTGAGATGGACAGGTCTTTTGTGTCCAGAGGGGAGTTCTGTCCTGGCAACCACAGGAGCCCTGAGCTGCACGGGGGCCACACTGGCCAAGGATGAGGTCCTCGCCATCCCKTCCAGACACCCCGGCTTTGGGGACCAGAGGCTGCAGCCCACGTGGTCCCAGGCCTTGGCAAGCTGCTTCTCATTCTCACTCTTCCCGGTGGCCGAGGCTGCCCCGAGGGTCCGTGCCTGGCTATCTGGAGACCAGGGAGCTGCCCTGGGACTGGCCGGAGGAGGAGGAGGAGGTGGCGGCACTGAGCTGGGAGAAGCCACTGGTGCAGGATTCCAGGCTGGACATGGAGCCCCTGGGGGGAGGGCACAAGTCACCCTCTGTTGATGCTGCAGGTGAGGCCCCAGGGCTCCTTCCTCAAGGCTGCTGACTGCCAGGGCCCGGGCCAAGTGCAGAGGGAGAAGCACTTGTCTGTGGAGCTGGCCTGTGCCCGTGASGAGAAGTGAGTGCCCCCCAGTTCCCTGCGCCCCACTCCCTCAGGACACAGCCCAGCCTACCACAGACAATCCAGGGGCTTCCCTGGCCTGGATCCCTACCACGGTCCTGGGCCCCCACAGCCCGGGGAGGCTSCGGCCCCACCTCTCACCCCTCACTCCTTGCAGTCGAGCCTGGCCTCCTCCCAGCGCCCTGGACACACCTTTGTGGGCGCCGAGCCTCCGGGCAGCACCTTCCCTCTGTCCCAGCTACCTGGTTCACCTGGACTTCAGCTCGGAGCTGCCTGGAGAACCCTCTGCCCGACTGAAATGTCCTACCAGTGTGCTGTCCTCGGCAGCAGCCRCTGGCCACTGAGGCCACAGAGTGGCCGGAACGTGGCTCGTGTATTCCATTCTATCTGCTATTCTGCGTTGCCACAGGGCGCTGGCCGCTACGGGGCTGTCCTGGGCAGCCGGAGGGATTTGCTCCTCAAAGTGTGTGGGGACCAGCCGTACCCTGGCACCTGGGGCTTGCTAGGGTTCTGAACCAGAATCTACGTGCTGAACAGGCCCCTGGTGACCGATATCACACCCCGTGGCTCTCCACCCAGTGTCACTTCCCAGAGGGTCCCCCCCACCGCACCCTCTGCCAGGTCCCTGCTCTGGGCCGACAGTTCTCTCTGTTAAGCCCCCAGCACTTCTTAGCCATGTGGCTTTGGGCCAGAGCCCAGGCTGGGCATGGCTTCCCGTCTTCCATCTGCGCCACACTTCCACGCGGTGGGAGTGCCCCAGTGGCAGACCCAGGAGGGCAGCAGGAAGTAGCCCTGGACTGATCTCTCATGAGGTCACTGAAGGACTCTTACACTGGCCAGACCAAACAGGTTGGTGCAGAGCGCCCAGCCCACCCCGTCTCCACGCGTCCCCCTGGGGGCCCTCCAGCACCTCCTTCCCAGGGCCAGGTGCACCCGGCTTCCTGCAGGGCTTCGTGAGGAGGGCAGGCTCTGCTGCTGAGCRGGTCTGACCAGGGCTCCCCCAAATCCCTGCTGGGCCTACCCTGGAGGAACTGGCCCACCGCTAGGGCAGAGCCCGGGAGCCCCAGGAGGAGCCACGCCCAGCACTGCAGGGCCAGCCCGCCCTGCCCAGCGCCCCCCGCCCTGCCCAGGCCCYACCCACCTGAARTCCTCGGAGGCGAGCACCTCGCAGTAGTAGAGGAGCTTGCACTTGGGGCCCGGGCTGTGCAGAGCGGTCAGGACATCCCCCGGGAGGCTGCAGGCCACGCTGCCAGGGGGGCTGTGCACTTGCCACTGGAGCAGGTAGAGCCCAGGCCACCTGGTCACATGGGAGCCCTGAAACACAGCAGCCGTGCTCTGTGCAGTCCCCTGGGGAGGGGGAGAGGGGCCGAGCCTTCCCTTGGCCAGGCCTGGAGAGAGAGGCTCTTGCCCTCTGTCCCCCTCTGCAGTGCACCAGCAAACTGTCCTACAAGGACCTCCCGAGGCCGCCCCTGCGGCTGCCCCACATCCCGGGACCAGCTCAGTGGGGTCTGCAGACCAGGAGGATTTAGAGGAGGGCGGTGGGGGCTCTCGGGTGCTTCCAACAGGTGGCTGGGTGGGGGAGAGAGTGCGGAGGGCGCTGTTAGTTGTTAGAAGGGCGACTCTCAGGAGGGGTAGAGAGTTTAGAGTGTTAGGGGGATCGCGGGGTGGTGGGCRGAGGGCTCAGGGGGCAAGTGTGAGTGCGGGGGGCAAGGTGTGACGTGCAGGCAGCAAGGCGTGATGTGCGGGCAGCCCAGCACCCCGGGCCCTGCAGCCAGGCCCTAGGCTTATGGAGCTGGCCTGTGCCCTTGTTCTCCCTGCTGTCCTGCCAGGTCCCTGAGGCCAGGGGCACGTCTGGTTTGTCCTGCTGTATTCCCGCAGCCCAGCAGGGGGTGGCCGGGATGAAGGAGCAAGTGACCCACAGGAGTGCCAACCTGGATGCTCTCCCCCTCCCGGCAGACCAGCGGAGCCTCCACGCGGCTGTAATCCGTGCCCAGGACCCAGCCCTTGTCCACCAGCTGCCCGCTGGCCCTGGCCCCAGGCTCCCGCGGGCCCGGCTTGAGCGCCTGCTTGGTGTGGTACAAGCTAAAGACCACGTCCCCTCGCAGGATGTCGAAGTCCCAGGTGATGACCGACTCCCCTTCCAGGATCTCCAGCGCGACCTGTGTGGGGACAGAGCAGCTCTGGGAGTCCCAGGGGACAGGACAGCTGGGGGTGGGCATGGGAGGTGCCGTGGGTGCTGCAGGGGTCTTGCCCCCAGTCCCGAGGTCCGCCTCCTGAGGGCAGAAGGGGCTGCTAAGGCTCCTCGTCCCTCGTCTGGGAACTTCTCTTGGAAAGGCCTGGGAGGTTCCACCCTGGGGTGACCAGGGGGCCCGGGAGGGGACGGCACTCAGGCCTGGCCCCTTGCCTCTCAGCAGGCCATTCGTGACCTCTTCCCCTTCCGGAGCTCCCTGGGTCAGGCTCAGGCCCAACGGCTGACGTCTCCTCTGGGTTTCCATCCCCCCACGCCCGCCTGCGAGGACCTGGCCTAGGGTGACGGCCGGGGCCCTCCCTGCCAGGCCCCAGCACCTCRTGGGGCGCCCCGCGGAGCACGCTGGCCGAGTGGTAGGTCTCGCTCCACTGCCGCAGCTGGTCGGCCTGCTCCTGCTCCTCCTCGGTCAGATAGAGGGACTTGGGGACCAGTCCTCCTTCAGGGACATTACACTGGGGGTCACAGACAAAATGGGTGGCAGGTCAGGGTCCTGGAGGTTGGCCGGCCTGAGCCACCGAGTCCTGTGAGCCCTGAGACAGCCTAGAACAGTGACCCCGTTTGCCCCCTAGAACCCCCGCAGGGTCGGGACGGTTTTCCCGCATCACAGAGGAGGGAAATGGCAGCTCAGAGAGGGAAGACGAGTTGTCCAAGATCACAGAGCACAGGGTGGCTGCTCAGGGCACAGGGCACGCTCCTGAGAGTCACGCTCAGATCCCCCCCTCCCGGCTGGCAGGGATCGGGGACCCTCCCCCAGCACCCCTTCAGCTGTCAGGTGGACCCATCAAGGCACGGTGGGTTCTGCAGATTCCCAAAGCCAAAGGCCCCCGGGCGGCTGGGCCTCGGCAGACCCTCTGCCATCCCAAACCGTGATGCCCATCTCACTCCAGGGGGAGGCCACAGCAGGAGGCGAGGTCAGGCAGGCCGGCGGAGCCCAGGAGGCCTACTGTGCGCTGCTGGGTGAACAGAGAGGGCGAGCCTGCCTGGCTGCAGGAAGGGGCTGGGACTCGGGGTCTCCCTGCCTGGCAGCCCACCRCAGGGGGCAGTGGCCTGGTCAGGGCAGGTCTGGGCGCACCAGCTCCAGGGCAGGGCCGTGGGCACTRGGTGTCACCACCCTGCGTGGAAGGGCTCGGAGGAGCCCGGCTGCTGAGCAACCTCTGGGGACACGGAGGGTCTGGGGACTCGGCCTGGTCCCTGGGCTTCTGGAAGATGCTGCCTCACTGTGTGAAAGAGCCAGAGACAGGGGAGAGCCAGAAACACRCCCCATGCCCACTCGGCAGCCTGGCTTGCAGGGGACAGCACGGCGGCCACCCAGGGGCCACCCAGGGACCCCCCCAGCCCRGACTCCTGGCCTCCGGGGCCACTGCCCTCACCCTGCAGCCCAGCCCGGCCACCGGCCTCACCACACTCTCTCCCCCCAGGAAGTCGGGGATCACTTCCTTGTCCAGGTAGTCCACCAGGCCCCCGGGGCCCTGGTAGTTGCTGCCGCTGTAGATGAGGAACTTCTGCCTGGTGTTCTCGTTGATGAAGGGGCTGATCTGCAGTGGGGGTGCGGCAGAGGGCACGGGYTGATCAATTATTGGTACAGGGAATTGAACACCGGGGCGCTCAGCCACTGACCCACACCCCGGCCCATTTTAGTTTTCATCTTGAGAAAGGGACTCCCTAGATTSTTCAGCTGGCCTCAAACTTTCCATCCTCCTGCCTCAGCCTCCTGAGTATCTGGAATTACAGATGTGCACAGCACGCCCACTTGACTAGCCTGTTTTCAGTGGAAAAGAACAGAAGAGACTAGTAAAGAGGCTGCATAGACAAGGAACGCACACCACTTCACAGGTCTCTTGTTCAGGGTGTGCGTGTGCACATGTGTGCACACACGTGTGCTGGGCTACAACTGTGGGTCCTGGCCAAAAGTTTAAAATCCCAATAGTCCAAGGTCCAAACTGTCCTTGGAATCAGCTCACAGGAGGCCTGGGAACACTGTACAATGCTGAGGGTTGCCATCCCATTAAAGAAACAGGCAAGGGATACACAAATGTGCTCCATCCACATGCTGGAATATTATTCAGCTGTAAAAAGGAACAGAGAGCCAGGGCAGGCGGCACCACGGCTGGACTCCACAACACTGTGCCCAGTGAAGAAGTCGGACAGCAAGTGCCTCACAGTGGATGAGCCTGTTGACATGAAGCTCCCAACAGGCAAATCCCACAGGGAGGTAGGCGGAGGGTGACCCCCAGGGCCAGGAGGAGAAATGGGCATGGGGGTTCCAGGAAACGTTCTGGGGCTGGGCGGGGTAGCAGTTGTATAATTCTGTGAATATAGCGAAACCGCTGAATCCCGTACTTTAAGAGGGCGAAGGCCGCGGCATAAGAGTCTTATCTGGATAAAGCTGCCATTTACAAAAGTTGAAACAAGGCCACTCAGTGGGAGGAACCTCCCATCTCGGCCTCCCGGGGGGGCCTGGCCAGGCTCCTGCTCTTACCAGCGTCCAGAGCACGGGAAAGACTCGGGGGGCTCGCACGATGAGCAGCCGGCCCAGGGTCTCGGGGTAGTTATCCTCCACGACCTCGATCATGCGCAGCAGGGCCTTCACCCCCGGCCGCCAGAGGTGCCGCATGTTGAGACCCTCCAGGTCCAGCAGGCAGGTCCAGGAGCTGTGGTGGACACGCACCCCTCACTCCACCTGGCTCCGCCTCGTCCCAAGACGGACAGGGAGGCGGGTGGGAGCAGAGGGGCCGCGGGACACTGCTGCGGATCCCTCCGCGGTCGGCAGGCTGCGTGCTGAGGAGGCCCGGAGCCGGGATGCCCAGCTGARCCCCGGGGCCCAGGCCTCCGCTCCACCTGGAGAGACCTGGGCAGGGACCTGCCCTCACGGAGTCAGCAAAGGTGGTCAGCTCAATGAGGTGGGGGCTGGAGCGCTCTCTGCAGGAGCTGGTCCCTACTAGTTGAGAGAGGATGCTGTCCACTACATACAGCCCACGCGGCTCTGGAAGCTTGCCCAGCAGCGTCGGGTGGCCCAGGCTCAGATCCCCGCTCTGCCACTTGCTGTGTGGCCAGCGCCAAGTTCTTAACCCCTCTGTGCCTCCACTCCATCAGTAGTGAGTCATTAGGGAAATGACCATCTTACTGCAGTGGCCGGTCCCTGGGAGCCTCTGCACCCTGGATGTCCCTTAGCCCTGCTCACACCTCTGCAAGGGGGTCCTTTGTGACACTCCCCGTTCAAACCATTTGGGGTGGACTCTGCCTCCAGCCAGGACCCTGGCTGACAGATTGCCACTCCGGCCCGATGTCCCCGTCCTTACGAAATCTCCAGACAGAAAGGAACTTAATCGTCATAAAGAGAAGACTCCTGGGGGCGGGGGTTAAAACTGCAGGTGGCAGGTCCTGTCAGTGCTGGCGCCAGGAGGGCCGAGGGCTGGGGGGCCCRGGCCGCACACAGCTGGCCGCACACATTGGCCAGCAACCTCGACCCAGAGGTGGGGTCCAGGGAGTGAAGGGGCAGCAGGCCGCTGCTGGGCTTGGTCACCGGGGAGTGCGGCTGTCGTGGGAGATGGAGGGAGACCTCRGGCCAGAGAGCTGCTCTCAGGATCCAAAGTCGGGAGCCGGACGGGGCCGGACCCAGACAGGGGCAGGTCCGAGCCAGCTCGGCCACCAAGCCTCCGTGACCCCAGGGAGCACCGCCACCCGGCTGTCTCCTCTAAAGTCAGGGTGACTGCAGCCCCTCACAAGATCACCGCAGGAGCTAGGTGGGGACGGTGACGCTCAGTGCAATGTGTTAGCTGCCCGTCCACTGGGGAGTCGCAGCCCGGGTCCTTGCCTGATGGGACGGCCAAACTGCTTGGTGTTCCCCTCACACCTCTTCTGTCCTTCCTCGTTGACAGAAAGGACCTGCAGGGAGGACAGCGTGCTGAGCCACCCTCTCTGCTGTCCACCCGCAGTGGCCCGGAGCCCGGGCGGGGGGGACACTCACGTGCTGCAGCAGCGCCTCCTCCCCCACYGCCTTCATCAAGCCCTTGGTGTCCATCTGGCCCAGGCGGAGGATGTACAGGGGACGTCCATCTTCGGGGGCAAGCAAACAGAAGGGACACTGGTGACCCAGGCAGGTCCACGCCACCACTGGAATGTGGCATCCTCAGGGAGGAGACACCAGGCCTGGCACACCCAGGCCCAGTGGGCACATGCCCTGGCCAGCACCTGCTGCCTCCAGGGGGCAGRCCCCTCACCAAAGACCCCAACAACAGGCGTGTTCTAATAAGGACAAGGGACAYGCCCGCGGGGGCCTTGGCAGCTCCCGCTCCACGTTGGCGGCTCTTTGCCAACTGAAGCCTTTCTCCCGCCTCTCTTTTGCTCAGAACAGGACGAGAGCCACCCCAGGAGGGGACACTGAAGCCAGACAACACCGAGCCCCAAGCACACGCTCTTCAGCCTCAGAAGAAAGCCACGGAGAGGGACCTGCTCACACTGGCAATGCCGTCACTCAAAGTCCCAGAACACGATCGGCCGCGTCCAGGCAGGAGCGGGTCAGGCGGCGAGAGCCTGGAGACTCGGCCCTTCTGTCCACGTCAGTGGCCTTGTTGGGGGACAAGGACACTCCCCACGTCCCCATTGGTTCCACTGAGCACTCAGCAGAACCAACTCCCGCAGCAGAGCTGGGCCATTTCCACGGGGGTCTAACAAGACTCCAGAGGCTCCGCTCAGCCTTGCTCTCTCCAGAGAACAGAACTCTGCGCACACCACGTCCATTTCAGCTACCTAATGCTGTCCTCGTTGCTGACAGGTGTCCTGTGTAGGACGATGGGACTTGATGGGTTGGTGTCGTCAGCACTGAACCCAAGGCCACGGGCACACAGGAGCCCACAGCCCGGGATCCTCCCGACTGCACCCAGGCCCCTGTGCCTGGGCACCCGAGGGCAGCACGGCCCTCTGGCCCCACGAAGCAGCAAAGTTGCCCACGAAAAACCCCAAACTGCAAAATCACCGCCCTCTAGAAGCCACCAACGGCTCGTGTGCTGCACAAGCGCCAAACCCTGGAGGCTGCACCGCCTTGCTCAGCCCCAGCCAGGACGTGCACACCCCGCAGCCCAAAATTCTCACCCCGCTGAACGTGTCCTTGGATGACCTTGACAGGGCTGCCACGGAGCTGTGACTGTTTATTTGGAGGTTACAAAGACATTTTAGCAAGCAGGGGGATCCATGAATACYGAGGACTGCGTTAAGACACTGTGCCAACCAGTGTGCCAACCGGGGCTGGAGAGAGCCCGGCATTTCCCCCAATCAGCATATGTGAGTTTTTATGTAAAGGACCGTGAAAAGCCCAGTAGTTGTTGGCTTTAATTTGAAAAAACCTAGACACAATATTTGTGGCAGGTGGAATGTCATCTACACACACACGCTCACACACACACACACACACACACACGCTCACACACACACACAAAACCCAAAGTGTGACCCTTATTTGAAAACAGTCTTTGCAGATGCATTCAGTTAAGGACATCAAGAGGAAGCCTTGGCCTCCTGACCAGGAGGGGGGCACAGGCCCTGGGACCCCAGTGGCTCGAGTAGGCGGAGGCAGGAGGGTGGCAAGCTCAAGGCCCCCTCAGCAAYGTAGTGAGACCCTGCCTCAAAATAAAAAAGAGCTGGGGATGTGCTCAGTTCTAGACCACCCCTGGGTCCAACCCCCAATACCAAAAAAAGGGGGGAATCATTCTGGATCTGGGGTGGGCTCTACATTCAGCCCCTGGGGTCCTTAGAGAAGAAGACAGGACACAGAGAGATGCCCAGATGCCACCGAAGACAGGCAGAAATTGGAGGGGTGCAGCCACAAGCCAAGGAGCCCAGGGCCCCCCAGGCTGGGACAGGCAGGGGCGGACTCTCCCCTCTAGCCTTGGGGGAGCACAGCCCTGCCCACACCTTGACTCCAGACTCTCAGCCTCAGAACTTCCAGAGAACACATTTCTGCTGTCTTCGCCACCAGATTTGTGGCGGTCTTTTACGGCTGCCCTAAGAAGCGCCTGGGACATTCCTGCAACCATCACCTGCACCCCCGGGACCCCAGCAAAGGGGGACGCCTGGGCAGGCCCCAAACTATTCCATCTGCACCTTCTTCCCATCTGGGCGTCACATCCAGAGGCCTCCGAGCRCCCAAGGGAAAACCAGATGTTGGCACACGGCCCCTCCTCCAAGTGCCTTGGCAGCCCCCTGGCCCTCACCTATGTCCTGGTAGTGCCAGCCTCCCGCGTAGAACTCCTCCAGCAGGGCAGGGGGCTGCCAGGTCTGCAGGAGCACGTCCACCTGGTGCTGCTTCCGCCAGCTCAAGGACTGGCACAGCATCTCCCGGGCCTTGTCCAGGTGGAAGTCGCGGGCGCGCAGGAAGCGCAGGATGTGCTCATCTTTGGGAATCTGAGACCCAGAGAAAGAGCCGGAGAAGGACACCCGGCCCACAGGTCAGGTACCAGAACGAGCCCCTGGCTCACCTGCAGAGTGTCCCCAACCCCGAGGGAGAGCCAGGGCTCAGGACCCTCCGCACTCGGCTGCCTCTCAGTCCTCCCTGCTCCTGCTGGAACCTGGGTCTCTCTTTGGGGCAACTGGTCCTCCTTCAGACCCCCCAGTGAGCCAGTCCTGCAAGACCAGCCCCAGGAGCTGCCCTCTCTCCAGCCAGAGGAGCAGGGTGTGGACTGGCCTCCAGTCTCAGTACCGGTTCCTGGAGGTGTAAACTGACACCATTCGGCACTAAAGTCATTCCCCACCTGTCCCCTAAGGTGGAGGAGAGAAAGACCAGCCGCTAAGCTGGCAGCCGCAGCAGGAAGTTCTTACTCAACAGAGCTGAGGACAAAGTCTGCGCCTRGGACCCTCCTCGTGCATCCTAGTTACGGGGTGACAAGGCAAAACCCACCCACGGGCAGTCAACACTCACCTTCGCAGGGTCTCTAAGTCCCATGGGAAAGGACAGAAGGGTATCGGGAATGTGGTGCTATGCAGCGGTGTCTCCACTGGGGGTCACCATGCCCCAGAGGACACATGAAGCTGTTCAAGGTTGACATAACTGGGGGTGGGGCGTGGGGCGGGAGGAGGGAGRGAGTCTCTAATGACATCTGTTTGCTGAGGCCAGGGATAGTGGGAGGTCTTCGCGTGGCTGACTCCCCTGGCCGCCCCCCAGGCCCACCCACCTTGCCTCTGTGGGTCTCCTGCAACCAGAGCCGCAGCTGGATCAGGCAGCTCTCCTGCATGGGTGTGAGCTGGCCCAGGCACCTCTGGATGTAGTCTGCGTCCAGCTTGTCCCCTTGGAGGAGGAGGACGGGGTCTTCAGGACAAGGGAGACCCTGCGTCCCTCRCCCCGTGGGCGGCTGCCCTTTCTCTGCCCTCCTGTACTACTGGCCACCTCTGCTCTGGAACATGGTTCCAAGCCAGGCTAGGGCTCCAGCTCCGAACACAGCCCTGCAGGCCCCAAAGTCCTTCATTTTTCAACCCGGGTCCAGGTGKTTCTGAAAGCTTAGTCCAGGATGGTCCCCACCCTCCAGGGTGGCCGAGCCATGTGTGGGGGCCTGGGGACCACGTGGATCAGCCTGCTGGGCAGATCAGCCCATGGCCAGCACACAGAGCCCGGCTCAGCCCAGGTCCGGTGCCCGGCTCCTAGCCCTGTGCAGCAGAGGCRGGTGCCCACGGCCTCCTGGTATCTCAGCCAAGCAGCAGCCTGTGGGCACAGCCACTTCTCTGTGGACAGATGGCACAGTGAGAGAGCAAACTGAATGCCCGCCCAGCAAAACCTCTCAGCCGTTCCCCAAACCAACCCTGGGCACGGGGGTCACGCCGGCTGTGCAAGGAGGTATCTGGGTAAACTGCAGGAGGGATGGGGGCCGCCTGAACTCATGTGGGCAACAGCAGCAAAGGGGCAGCGGAAGACATGAGGCAGGCGGGGCCCCATGTCCTTCCGGCCCCCAGCAGATGTGAGGCCCTTTTCTCCCTCTGAGCACAAAGGCCCAGTGATTCAGAACAGGGTGGAAGGGCCTGAGGTGCCCTCTGCCAGTCACCCTGAGTGCCAGCGTGCTGGTGGACAGGACAGATGAGAGTGGAGGCCAGGCCTGGGTGGACAGGCAAGGAACAGGGCACGAACCACAGAGCACACACACAGGAGCGTGTAAAAATATAAAAGGGCACGTACAACAGCAGCCAGCCAGTGCACATAGTCGGTGCAGAATAAATTCTTGTTGCATGAATGGATTTTGTTCCCTCTAAACACAGCTCGAGAYGTAGTATTAATTCACGGTATTGTCACTCAAGTATCTTGGAATCAGGCAGGCCTCCACGTGTCAGTGGCCCAAAAGGAAACTGGACTCCGTGTTTGTACTGTTCTGTACACCGGTTTGTTAGAATTTTTCTTTTCTTTTTAATTTGCCCTCACATTCTATTTGAACAATTTCCACATGAATAGAAGACTGAACTGTGACAAAGGGCTAATTGCTGAAATATACAAAGAGCTCTTACAAACCAATAAGAATTCAAGAACAGGAATCAACCAAAGAAAGGAAAATAGTCACTAAACATGAAAACAATACTTGACCTCAATCATGATGAAAGAAYGCATCACTAATCTACAAATGATCGTTCTTACTGCCTTTCAGAAGTTTGAAATATTTAGTAAGATTCTGGTGGAAAGTCAGGGTGAGTAGACACAGCTTCACACTTTAGGTGGGAGCGATGATCAGCAGCCTCTTCAGAGGCCTAATTGGTAAATCTACCAAAACTTCAGTTGCACAAAACCTTCCAGTAACTTCACATTTTAAATGTTATGCTCTGTTTCTACAAAATTTTTTAAACGCTTATGTAGAAACTGGATCCAGTGGCACATGCCTGCAATCCCAGCTCCTCAGGGGGCTGAGGCAGGAGGATTACCAATTCCAGGACAGCCTGGGAAACTTAGTGAGGCCCTGTCTCAAAATAAGAAATAAAATGGGCGGGAGAGGTAGCTAGTGGCAGAGTGCTCCACCCCCAGTTCCATCCCTAGTAACACCCTTCCAGGTTTTTTAAATGAAAAAATTAAAATCTCTGAGTCCAAAGATGTATGGCACATTCTTAATTTTTACTATTTGTGTGTGTGTGTGTGTGTGTGTGTGTGTGTGTGTGACGCTGGGGATCAAACCTGGGGCCTAGCAAACCCAGGAGGGCCTCACGCACACTAGGCAGGTGCCCTACCACTGAGCTGCCTCCCAGGTCTTTTTATGTGATTTTGAGACAGGGTCTCACTGCGTTGCTTAGGGCTTCACCCAGCGGCCGGGGCTGGCCTGGATCGTGGGGTCCTCTTCCCAAGGCTGTGATCCTGCGCCTGTCCCCAGTTCCTGGGATCACAGGTGCGCACCACCACACCCAGATCACTATTTGTATTCTTTAAAAAAACTGAAACAACCTGAATGTCCATCCATCGGGGACCATCTAAATAGGCCAAATTAAAATAGCAAATAGTCAATGTTGATTATCAAGTTACGGAACCACCTCACGATACCGTGAACTATTAAGGTCTTCTCGCTGCCGTGAAAAGGAACCAGCCACATCCAGCGCAGATGAGAAACATCAAAACATCAAGGGGGTTACAGAATGCGCCCCACGAGTTAGGTTCGACGTGTTACACGGGCATGGACAACGGTGCCCACGTGTGTGCGGGTGTCCACCATCACAGGTCAGCGCATCTACCTCAGCAGCTCGCCAAATAGAAACCCAGGCCTCCGCTCGGCCTCCAGGGAGCAGGAAGGCCTAATTCCTACTGCCCATCTTCTGAGTGGTCTGAATTTTTTCTACCATGATCATGCATTACTCGGGTAATTTAAAATAGTAATAAAACCAGAATCCCAGGCAGCGCTGTGCACCCGGGTCAGCAGAGGGGCGGAGCCGGGGGTGGAGGGGGCACGGAGGAGGAGTCCGGAGGAGGAGTCCGCGGTCACGCAGGACCCAGACCCTCCGCGCTGCTCCTCCCTCTTCCTCCCACCCGGCGGGGCGCTTCCCAGCACCGGGGCCAGGGCGGAGCAGCGGCCACCTACCGTCAGTTCCCACCGCCTCCGCGGCAGGGCCCAGGACCCTGAGGGTCCCCTCAGCCTGCCGGGATCCGGGCTGGCTGCGGGCGTCCTCCTCCCGGACCGGGGCGGGCGTCCAGCGGGGGATGTGAGAGGTGCCCTGGGAGATGAGCTCGTTCAGGTAGTGCTCGATCACCTCCTTCCCCTGGGGACACAATGGCGGGGTCACCGCACTGGCGCACCTGGCTGGGTCCCTCCGCGGACAGTGGCCTACTGGGGGCCGAAACGCGACAGGTAGGGACGGAGAGGTGCTGTCCAACGCCGCAGGGCTTCACGGTTTTATATAACACGCAGGTAAGACACTAATAAGTTCATGTCACCTTTGTCATCATGTAATAGGCAATCACAGGGGTGGGCCTGAGGTCTCCAACCCAGCAGTGACAGTTTTAGCCAGGAAGAGGCTCTGCAGAATGTCCCTCCTCTGCGCACTGAGCTCTCTGCAGGGCCCCCACATCCCCCCGTACGGGGACAATGACCAGGGCGTGCTACTGCAGCCAGCTCTCTGTCCTTGGTCTCAGTGACAAGGCCTCACTAGAGCTCCCGTTGGCAGGTGAGGAGACAGGCCCAGGAAGGTTAGGGCTCTCCCCAGTGTCACAGGGGTCGCAGGGTCAGGGTGGGTATGCGCCCTCCTCCCCGGACCTCGGGGCCCTCTCACCCTCTTGACGTTGGCCATGTACTGCTTCATAGCGATCTTCTCCAAGGTGTTCTCAAAGCCAAAGAAGGACCGGATGTCCAGCGAGGCCGACTGCTCGAAGCAAGTCCAGTCCTCATTCTCAGGGTGGACCTGGAAGCCAGGCGCGGGAATGCCAGGTCTCACTGTGGGGCCTGCTGGCCTCCCCAGGGGCTCTCCCCAGGCAGACCTGCAGTGGACAGCACGTCCCACCCAAAGTCTGAGCTGTTAGGGAGCAGAGAGCTGGCTCATGGGGGCCCAGAGAGTGTGGGCTGATAGCTGGACCCCTGCCCTTAAAAATACACACAGACTATAAAATTATGTGCAAACAGGCTGGGGATCGAGCACTCGCCCAGCACATGTGAGGCCCTGATTCCATCCCCAGCACCTCCAAAAAATTATATGTAAATGATGTTTCATATAATACATCCCTTACATAAGTGTATGAATAAATTACATATCAACATTATATATGAGTTTAAGATACCTTAAATAGTTACATGTTGTATGTTAGATATTTATATGTGTATTTTACATACAAGGATGTACTTTCTAAGTGTCCTTGTATATCCACAGATGCACAGATGTCAATAAAGAAAACACACTGGTGGAGACCACAGGGACCAGGACCTAGTGGTCCTGAGAGCTCCCCAGGCGGCTGCAGAATGTGCAGGTCCTGGGCTGCCCCACGGAGCAGGCCAGGGCTGGGGAACCCACATGCACAGGCAGCCTGGGTCCAGCTGGCCTGCCGTGGCAGAGGTCACTGTGGTTAACAACAACAGGTGCCTACAGGAGCCTCAACGTCCTGAGCCCCATCTCCAGGAGGTCCCAAGAGGGGCTGGAGGTGCAGAAAGGAAAAGCAACAGGCATCTAGTGGGTCCTGCTCATGTGAAGCACCAAGTGGCAGATGGATGGGCAGAGCCCTCCACCCAGAAGGCTGGGCGAAGACTATGGAAACACCCACATGCTCTGCAAATGCCACGCTGTGTGGCCATTCTGAGGACCGCCACTTGGGATCCAGCCTGGGCCGAGGGACCTGACCCACCTTCACTACTGGGTCCTCCCAGCAACCCGAGGACCTGCCGGACAGGATCTGCCTATGCCCATTTCACAGATGTGGACGGTGTGGCCTGGGAAGGGCAGCTACTCCCCCAGACTGCACAGGAGTGGCAGAGGGGGTCCCCTCCAGCCACACCTTCCAGACTCCTCACTCCAGCCCTGTGGCAGCAGGACCTGGCCCCACAGCCTCGCCTCGTCCCCTCAGATCGTCACCCAGGCCATTCCCAGCCCAGAACTCTGCTCCCAGCCCTCAGGAGCTTGCTCCTTCCACATTCAGCTCTCAGCCTCGGTGACACCTCCTGAGCAGCCCAGGGACCCTGGGCACCCCTCCTGCCATCTGCTGCATCCTTCCTAGCAGGGGTCTGGCTTTCTCCCACCTGCACGGCCCACTGGAGTGGAAGCCGCATGAGGACAGTGAGCAGGCAGACCCGTCCACCTCCCAGTGCCAGCACAGCTGCTCACAGAATAATACCTATGATTGCTAAAACTAACCACCTTTACATGGGACTCAGTGGTGCCAGGCACTGGTCTGAGGGGTTTGGAGAGCGACGATTCACCTGCTGTAGCCCTCACCACCCCTATGTGGTGGGCGCACTTATCAACCCCACCCTACAGATGCAGAAACCGAGCCACAGATCCCTGAAGGCTGCCAGTTTTCGTGGATAAAATACAAGACACCAGTCACCTTGGAATTTCAATGCCTTGGTGTAAATATATCCCAAACAAGACTGAAGCATACTTACACTGAGGGAAAAAAATGGGGTTTTTTATCTGTGCCGGACACCTGTCTTACCTGCCGGCGCGGGAGGGAGCAGGGAGCAGGAGGGGAGGCCGGGCGGCTCACCGAGTAGCTGCAGTTCTCCTTCACCACGACCCGGCTGGCGAAGGTCTCGTTGTGCGCCTCGATGAGGAGCGTCCTCTCCCTCCAGTTCAAGACGTTTTTCTGCACGAAGACCACGTGCTCCACGCCTGCGATCTGCAGGGGGACCAACAGCCGGAGGAGGAGGAGGACGAGAGGAAAGAGAGGCGCGAGTCCCGAGTGGCCCCCACCACCCAGGCGGCTCCCGGACACCCGGTGCCTGCTCCTAGATCCCTCGCCAACCTGGACCTGCGGACCCACCCTGCCGCCCACCCGTCCACCTCCACCAGTCTGGGCCCCACTCTGCACCCTAAGACCACCCCCCACACAGCCCACACACACCCCACCCAGCCCCAGCTGCCCACCTTCCGCAGCAGCCGTGGGGCGTCCACGCGCAGCCGGCAGCTGCGCTCCACCACGTGCACTGCCCCGTCCGCGCTGCGGGACTCGCCCAGGACCTCGCTGCCCAGGAAGACTGGGATCTGCGGGCAGGTGGGGAAGCGCTTCTCGTAGGCCTGGGGGCAGAGCGGGGGTCAGGGCCGGGGCCAGCGCATCCCTTGCCGCCCTCGCAGGGCTGTGGTCTCCTTCCTGGGAGGGGGTATCCAGGACAGAGAAAGGCACCCCCAGCCGGGAAGGAGCAGCGGTGACTGCGGACACCACCAGCATCTTAACAGACGCCTTCTCCCGGGGGCGATGGGGCCGGGCCCAAGCAGTGATTTGGCAAATAGCGTTGAGGCTTTGCATTTGACTTTTCACCCTCAGAAAGAAGGATGGGTCTGCTGGGACGTTTCAAGAGAAGGCATTTATCCAAAAAAGCATTTGACAAACTCCAACGCCCATTCATGAGAAAACCACTCCCCACACGGAAGGGCAGTTCCTCAGCCTAATGAAGAAACCCACAGCCAACAGCACACTCAAGGGTGAAAGAGCAAGTGCTTTCCCCAAATCAGACTCAAGATGCTACACACAGAAAACCCCAAATACACACACAACCGGACTGTAAGTAAGCTGCACACGGTGGCAAGGCGTAAATCAGAGCTGTTTACAAATCAGTTCTGCTGTATACACAGCAGTGAAGTTTACAATAACACCAAAAAGAACGATGACTTAGGAATGCACCCAGGAAATCGAGTGCATGACTTACACTCTGAACACGGCTGAAAGAAAGTAAAGAAGTCGTAAATAGATGGAAGACTGTCCCTGTTCGCGGACAGCAGGGCACCCCAAAACGAACCACAAACTCAAGGAAACCCAGTCACATCCCAGCTGTCTTGTTTGCAGAAATTGACAGACTGAGGCTAAAATTCGTGTGGAAACGCAAAGGACCTAGAAGAGCAGAAACAATCTTGAAGAAGAGTAAAAGCGGGAGATGCACACTTCCCAATTTCAGAACCTCTTAGAAGGCCACAGTAATCCAACCAGAATAGCCATTGCACTCGAGGGCAGACATAGAGATCACAGGAGTGAAATTGGAATTCCATTCACATGTTGATTGACATTTGACCGGGAGTGGAGACAGATCCACGAGGAAGAAATAGTCCTGGGATAACAGGACTTCCCCATGCAAAGGAATGACATTGAACTTCAACCTCAGGACACGTTCAAAATCCCACTCAAAATGGAGCAAAGGTTTGACTGTAAGAACCCAAACTATAAAACTTACAAGAAAACACGGGAGGGGCTGGGGTGTCATTCAGTGGTACAGCGCCCACCCAGAACGCCAGAGCCCGTGGGTTCAATCCTCATACTTCAAAAATCAACACAAAACACAAAACCCCCAGTAATAAGTCTTTATGACCGTGAATGAGGCAGTCATCTCTTAGCTGTGACATCAAAATCACAAAGGACACCGTCAAGGGAAAGAAAAGGTGACTGAGGGATCGGGGGGAATTTTTGCACGTGTTTAGATCTGTTTGTACGTGGACAGTATATATATATATATGACATCTGTATCAAATAGGGGACTTGTATCTGGAATCCACAAAAAACTACTAAAGCTCAACATTGAAGAGATAAATTTAAAACTGGGCAGAGGACCTGGGCAGACGTTTTCCAGCGCGGGACACCGCTGGTGGCGGAGAGGCACGTGGGAAGGCGTTCAACATGGCCCGTCGTTACAGAAGTGCAAACAACCACAGGGCAGTGCCACTTCACGCCCACCAGGGTGGCAACAGCAAAAGGGCAGGCGGTAGCGAGCGCTGGGAGACGTGGAGGAGCTGGGCCTCCTGCATGGGACCTGCCATGATGCAGCCCCTTGGAAACCAGCCTGGCCTTTCCTCCTACAGCGGACTGTCTGCCACCCAGCGAGCCAGCTCCCAGGCACACACTCAAGACAATGGACACAAATGTGCACACAGAAATGTGTGCATTCGTGTTTGTCGCAGCTGTATTCAGAAGAGCCCCGAAGTAGAAACAACCCAATGTCCTTTAAACTGGGGAGAGGATAAAGGAATTGTGGTCGAGCCCTATGGTGGAATATCACTCAGCTATAAAAAGGAATGAAGCACCGACACATGCTGCACGTGGACGGACCTTGAAAACCCTGTCCCGAGGGAAAGAGGCCAGACACAAAAGCCTGCAGGTTATGAGAGTTGGCTTCCATGAAAAGTCAGGCCAATCCACGGAGGCAAAGAGGACTAGTGGTTGGTTGTCAGGGGCTGGTAGGGGGTGAGTGGGGCTGAGATGAGGGCCGAGGGCCTTGCAGCTTCACTGGGGGTCGCGAGGACATCTTGAGACTGTGGCGATGGCTGCACAGCTGAGACTGTGCGGAAGCCACGCAGTCAAACGCTTCCCAGGGATGAATCGTGTGGTATGACTCAGGCGTCAGCGCAGCTGGTGGGGCTTGGCTTTGGGAGAGCTCTCTACCTCTGAGCCCCACCCCCAGCCCAATGAAACTGTTCTGAAAAACACATGCCAATATGTGTACGTATGTACACGTATGTACACGTATGTACATATACCCACACATGTACAAGAACATGTATGATGCATATAAGATACGTGTGAACATAAATATGTAATTTTTTCTAAGCATAGATGGCCTATATTTATATATTTATCACCTGCATAGACAGAATGTTTATATACGCGGCTTTAAACATGTAATTGTATATACAGATTCAGAAGATGTTTCATATGTAAATATACAGGCCCTTTAAAGAAGGTGCTCATTTTACATATGCACAGATTTTACATATTTTGGGCCCCGGCCAGAGTGCAAGCCCAGCCCCCCATTTGTGAGCCGTGTGATCTTGCACACTTCACCTGAGCCCTCTGCCTGCTGCTCAGGGTCGCCATGGGAACTGAAGGATGGGCGCAGAGGAGGCACCTGGGGCTGCTCCCTCCTGGCTTCCCCTTGGGTCACTCAGGGCTTGTCCTGAGCCAGGAGGGTAATGCCCTTCAGAAGGGAGGCCCAGGCCCTGATGCCAGGGTCCACAGGCCACGGTGTCTCCCTGAGCCTTGCTGTCCCCAGAGCCACCGTGGGTCCACAGCAGACTCTGCCCCTTCTGCAAATGTGAGGTCCTCCTGGGGGCCTGCAGACCTGGGTGAAAGTGACCAGAGGGGACCCCCGAGCCCATGAGCCACACTCAAGGAGGATGAGTCCACCCAGTCCTGGAAGTGCCAGGTCGGGGTCTGCTCTTAGCCTGGAGCCACCCACGCGCCCCGGAATTAGGCTCAGTGCAAGCTCCCAGAATAGTGCAGTCGGTTGTCTGAGGACAGACTCCTCCCCCTCTTCCCTCCAGGCTCTGGGAGGAGAGCTTCACCCACCCAGCTCAGATGGGCAGAGCAGGAAGGGCACTGGGGGAGGAATGGAAGTGCCCCTGGGGAAGCCCTGGGCCCCGGGCCAACCCAGCTCCTTTCCCCCCAGGGTGGGGAGCTCAGAGCCGCAGCCTACCAGAGCCGCCGCTTTGAGGACCACAGCAGTGTGGGGCTCTGGCCCCTGCAAGGTGCACCAGGAGCCTCCCAGGGCCTGGCACGGGGTGGGCAGCCAGCAAGGGAGGGCCCCTGAGACCCCCAAGGCCGCCCTGGACCTCGCCGAGGCAGCATTTCTCGAGAGCAGAGCGGGCAGGAGCAGCGTGGGTCACGGCCTGGCTTGGAGCCCAGCTCTACCGGCCCCAGACAAGGCGAGTCCCTTCCTCCCTCTAGGCTGGAAAACGGGCACAGGGGTCTCACAAGGGACAAAGCCAGGTTGGACATCTCAGCCAGAACCCAGGACGTGCACACCACAGGGACCGGGGCTCAGGGTGGCCCAGCAGGTGCAGGAGCTGAGCTGGCTCAGGCTCCACCTCCCTGACCCGGGGAGAGGCCCACATCGTGGGAAGTCCAAGGGGAGAAGAGTTCGTCAGCCTCAGTACCAGCCTCTGCTACTTTCTAACTGGGCGACTCTGGGCAAGCTGCTTGCCCTCTCTGAGCTTCCATTTGCTCCTCTGTTCAAAGGGGTGGCAATGAGGACCCTGCCAGATGGAGTCTTGGTGGGGTCTGCCTGACAAGTCCAGACTGCACTCCTCCAGCTGTGCGCTGTTCCACTTCCTCCTCTGAATAGAGTCCTTGTTTGACAGATGAGGAAACCCAAGCCCAGAGAGACTTACTAATCTATCCAAGGTCACACAGCATGGAATGGTGAGGCTGGATTTGAGTCCTGGTTGGGCCCAGGCCTCCCTCCCTTGTGCCAGCCAGGAACCCCTGGCTCAGCAGCTGGGTTTGCTCTCGTGGGCAGCTCAGAACAGAGCCGGCCGTTGTCTCCAGGGCTGTCCATCACATCTTCTCCCTTTCTGCCCTCAGTTGTTCTGCTCTGTCAGGCAGTGGCCCCAGCCCCACGAGTCTCCTCGCTCCCGGCTGTCCCTCTCCTCCTGCTCTTTTGCAGATGGGGGCAGACTCAGAACAGCCTCATGCCCAGTCCAAACCCCACGCTCCTTCCTATGGCCCCGCAGGCCTGCTGATCTGCCGGCAGCCCGCTGCACCCAGCCCCTCTGCTCCAGCTGCACCCGCCTGGCCACCTCTGGAGCGCACCCCGTCACCCTCAGGGGCTTTAGGCTGGCTGTTCCCAGGGGTCTAACACTAGTCCGCTCATGTGACAGTGACGGGGTGGGAGGGAGTCACTGCCCCTGGCAGGTAGCCTGGGCCCTTCTTCYGCCCCTCCCAGCCCCCCTGCACAGCCGCCTCCTGCCTGCTCACTCCTTGACCTGCCGCCACCGTCCACCCCCACAGCCAGCGAGCGGGTGGTGTGGGGAGGCCTGGAGGCCCCAGCCTTTGCCTTCTGTGGGCACCGGCGGCTGCCCCGTGGCTGCTCCGGCCACAGAGGCGCACATGTGTGTAGGCCCAGGGCCCAGGCAGCACCAGGAAAGAGCCACCCCAGAGCCACGGTCCAGCAGGCGGGGACCTGGGACCCTCAGCCTGGAGGGTGCTGATGCTCCTGGCGCTCATGGAGGGCAAGCAGCACCCCGAGTCCCCCCAGGCCCTGGTGAGACGGGAGCTGGAGCGTCCCACCACAGATGAGCAGCCGCGGAGGCTGGGG